TCACCCAACGACAGCTCACTGCGGTTGGACTGTGTCGCTGTCAGGACAAACAGCAGAGGGAGGAACTCCCAATATCTTCAGCGAGGTATTTCATCTCCGAGTACTCATCCCAGAGTACTCTCACTTTTACACCTGTTCAATAAAGCTTGTTATCTTTGAATCTCTAGTACTTACACCGTATGCTGTTGACAAAAAAATAATTATTCCATGATCACATTAAAACATTACAGACACATTTGTTATTCCATGATTCCGTTCAGCATTCCTCATTTCACTCCTTATTTCACACATCACACTCATATCACAGTCACATCACAGTCACATCACAGGCCGATTCCCCCACGTTAGTATTTTGGTCCAGTTTGTTAAGGTCGACGTAGTGTACTTTGACATGACACACAAACATATAACATACACAAAACATATAACACACAAACATGTAACACACACAGAAGGCCTGTACTTTTAACTTTGTTATATTTTTCCATGTCCAATTCTCATTGTCTCATGAGCTATTTCTTATTGTTGCAACTTTCAGAGCCTGCAGAGCTTTAAAAGAGTTTTCCTAAAAGGATCCATTTCCAACTTTAGTGTTTACCACGTGGTCTATACTTCGGGCTTATCACAGATTGTGTCCCCTATATCTCTAATGAGCTCTTGTCACCTAAAAAAAAATGTTTTTTTTTTCCTTATTTTTTATTTTTTTCTTTTTCAATAAAGCCAGGTCGGATTCATTAAAAATGTAAATTAGTCTCAAACTTTAATACTTCACCTTTGTTTCACGATAAAAATGTTTTTGTTACTCATTAAGTAGCACAGATAGTGGTGCCTATCTCAATAAACGTACTCCGTTAGCCTATCTTCCCTACACTGCATGAATTTTCAAACTCCAAGTTATTGTCTGGGAACGACCGGAGAGAGCAGCTTAGGTCGTTCGCGTGGTTGACCTCCAAATTTTGTGCGGGCGTCACTATCCACTTGTTGTGGCTAATAACTTAGCAATCTCAGGGTTTGGTGTCAATTTCCAGTGGTAGTTAACTTTTGGGACCGGTGCCTCCTTTTATTTATCTATTTTTAAATTGAGTCTGCACATAAGGTCTCGGCCTAGTAGATTAACCGGGGACAATGGGGAATATAGAAAAGAATGTTTAAGCTGGTTGCACTTTAATCAGGATTATATCTTTTGGCCGATATAAAACAATTTTAGAGCCTCAGAACAGGAATGTCCATTCAACCGATCCAAGGCTTTCTCTGCATCCAGCGAGACCACACTTCTGGGGTCTCACTGGATGCAGGAGAAAGAATAAATACTGAGAAGGCGCCGAATGTTGGAAGAAGAATGTCGATTTACATAAATCCATTTGATCTGAGGAAATTATTTTTAGGCATGATATATTTTCCAGAGTCGACATGCAAGATTTTTAATAGATTTTATATTGCATTTAAAAGAGATATCGGTCTATAAGAACAGCTTTCGGAGCCTCTTTACCTGGTTTTAAAAATAAGTGTTATTGCCAGCATCTGTTCTGAAAAAAAACAACAATTTAATCTAACACAGCATTTGAATCAATCATCCAAGTGTTATTTTATAAATAGATAAAAACATCCAGGTGAGAAAATGTGGATTGGTGTTTCGTGTGGCTCTGTCTCCTGGTCTCCTGGTCCTCCCTGTCTCCTGGTCTCCTGGTCACCTGGTCTCCTGTCTCCTGTCTCCCTGTCACCTGGTCTCCCTGTCTCCTGTCTCCTGGTCTCCTGGTTTCCCTGGTCTCCCTTCTCCCTTGTCGCCTGGGCCTCCTGGTGAGGCTAGTTCTTCAGCTGCTCAGAAGAAAGTTTTGTTTGAAGACGCGACTTGCACTGTTATTCTCACAGAAACCCATAATGTATGAAACATGTGTTTTTGGGACCGCGTTTGATGTCCAAATGAACGTAGAGAAGAGATGTGATAGATTAGGCAGATTATCCAATCTCACCCAATGTCACCTGCAGCCCATGAAAGCAAAGCCCCACGCCATAGCGGCTCCAGGCCCATGGACTTCAGATCTATCAAACATTTCCTTCTGTCTTATCTCTGGCCAAAGACCATATGTCTGAGACCACGTTCCATCTAGAAATTATATACAAGATACTGCGCATATCTCCACGATAATTTGTTTGACCTCAATCTGCATTCATGATATTATTATTTGATATATTCAAGAGGTATCTGCGTGAGGAGCTTGTTGCTATAGAGATCAAAAGAAATGTTTACACACTAAATGACACATTTTTACCTGCCCCCCCCCCCCCCCTGTCACAGGCAGTTCTATAGACTTCAAAGATTGAAGAAATAATGCACATGTAACAAAACGTGCAAACAATAGTCCTCCAACATGGCTCCATTACTGGTTTAGGCCCTGACCCCTGCCCTTACGACATCACCTTTTACCCTGCCTTTTACGATCACAAAAGTCATTTTAACTAGAACTGCACCCCACACTGTGTGTGAATCAAACAATCTAAATCTGATTGCCTGTAAATCCTATGACCATACGATGCCTAATAATGATGACTCTATGATCCAGGTTCATCAAGTTGGTCTTCTAATTACTCAGTCATTCTGGTGAGATGTGACTATAGGCCATTGTACTTGTCATCAACAGAACGCATCAAAAAGACCAGAACATATATTTGGGACATTATTTGGCACCATGGCACTAAAAAGCACAGGTTGGTGCTTTTTACCAAGTGAGTCAGGTGCCATGTTTCTACTCCGTCAGGTAAAAGTTTTCAATCATTTCCAGAACAGTTATCTCTGTCTATATTGTCAGATTTAGTGTAAAAAGTCAAAACGTCTTGGAAAGTGAGCTTGTTGAGCGACCGACATTGACAGAGCACGGGAAGAACGGGCTTATTCTCTCACATGTTATAGTCGGCGTCTTCCCACGGGACCAGGGAGAACGTTGCGCATGAGCATTTTTTTTTCAAACAGTGGAGAGGAGTTTCTTTCCTATAATTAGGGAATTAGTGCTCTCATAAAAAGTTTTCCTATAGCACCATCGCTAGCAACGCAATCTCCTGTAACGGCTGAACCTAACCCCCATTGTGTAGTGAGGAATGATAGTACAGAGGGAGTACTGAGAAGGACTGTGTGAAATACTGTTGGAATTATAGAGGCCACCTCCACCAGAAGCCTGATAAAGTAAATCATTTTAGCACTTCTCTGCTAGCTAAATAGCGTAAACCACTAAAATGTTGTAAACCGAGGCACAACTCAAGTCATTATATGTAGGGAAAAGGAACGGAAGTGAACTTGGTTGTATGTAGGTGTTGCGGAAAATACTTTATAAAGTTACAAGAAAAATAACTTTTCTTGTAAAAAAAGTAAACCTGTTATTTTACTTAGTTTACTCTCTAAAGAAAGTGTCTTATTACTTATTCATTTTAATGTTTATGTGTACTGTTTATTTATGCTCGACTTTGAGCTGAACTTTCTTAAATGTGTTCATAAGATGATCAAAAAACCGACAGAGGAATGGAAACATGGGTTGGGTAAATTTCATGAAACACAGCTCATCACCGAGGACACACGTTGGACCTCACACATCTGAGCCTGATCTCATTTACTCAAGTACCTCAGCGTCTGCGCTAAAGGATGCTGCAGTCTTCCTCCCTTAATAGAAAGGAAAAAAAGTCAGCCATCACTGCGCTTCTGGATCGGCATCTGCTCTTCGTCTATTCTCAGCTGCTCTTCATCATGGGGTAAACACAAGCGACCCACTACAATGAGCAGCAAGTATCTTTGCGGCAGTGTTTACGTTAAAAGTTGTTGATAGTTAACGCTGCTTTACTTTTGCCGGAAAAGTGTCTTATCAGCATGCATAGATTGGGAAACTTGAAAGAGTCAGAGGGGTCAATGAACAATGATGTGACCTTGATGTTCAGTATATAAATGTGGTGTCTGTCCTTGATAGTACCCAGACGAAGACCCGCAGGACGATATGTGGTGTCTGTTCAACCTGGGTCTGCTCTGGACACTGATGTCTGTCCTCCAGAGTTCACCTGGGTCTGCTCTAGGTCGGCACTAGATCATATACGGAATCGGGACGAAACCGGAAGTAACACTCCTACTTTCGAATTAGTTTTAGACTAATAAGTCCTTAAATGGTGACTGGTTAAGTTTTAGGCGTCTGAGTAAGATGGTTAAGGTTAGGGTTAAGGGTGGGTTGGGGTTATTTTATGGGAATGGCTGGTTAAGTTCTGGCATTAATAGGTAGTTTGTTATATATACTTCCGCTTCCATCCCGATTCCGTATATGATCTAGTGCTGACCGTCTGCTCCGGACACTGATGTCTGTCCTCCAGAGTTCACCTGGGTCTGCTCTGGACACTGATGTCTGTCCTCCTAAATTCACCTGTTCCTGCTCTGCCACTGGCATTTTCAATGGCAGCTAGAAGTTTATTGGCATGTCCAGTGGCAGCTGGAAGCTTAGTGGCACGTGAATCCCCCAGGGCAGGTAGTGGTGCCCTGATTTTTCTTCTCAGCAGAGATCATTTTGCAGTGGGTCAAAATACTCTCTGCTGATTTTACAAAGGAAGCTGTACCAGTGTACGTGTTGCTACTGAAAATGCCACTAAAGTTGACAGCTGCCCTGAAATTGTGACAGCTGCCACTAGTCAGGCAGGCTCCTTTTGTGTCATTGCCACAAAAGGAGCCTGCCTCCACTGCTCTGGACGCAGATGTTCGTCATTCCAGAGACTGGCTCTGTTGAGATTCCTGAGAGGGGGAATCAGGAAGCGGAAGAAAGAAAATAAGGAGGAAGGGCAAACATTTGGGTCCTCTGGAACTGGATCTGATCTAAGGAAGAAAGATCAGAGGAATTCAGAGGACAGACATGGGGTGAGGAGGAGGAGGCAGGAATGAGATGGGGAGGGGTGGGAGGGAGAAGTGGTGGGCAGGGGTAGGATTGGAGAGAGGGAGGCAGAGTCACATGGAAGGAGAGAAGAGAGAGGGGCTGTGAAGGTTAGGACGAAGGAGAGCGGGAGGAAGAAGAGGGGGAGAGGGGAGAAGGGGAGAAGGCAGGAGCAGGAGACGAGCAGCGCCGCCTCTTGGAGCTGTTCTCAGCAGAGCACTCGGACCTGCTGCGTTTGTGGGAAGAAGAGGGAGTGGGAGAAACAGTGTTAGGAACTGTTGGGCAATCTGGGTCACGGACATCTGACACAGAGGGAGAAGGGAGGTCTGGACCTAAAACCAACTCCTCTGGATCTGGGGAGGAAGAGTGTGAGGGGGAGGCAAAGAGGGGAGAAGGAGGAGCACTGCCAGGAGGAGAGACGACAGCTGCACCGAGGATGAGAGGAACCTGGAGAGGAGAAACCGTGGGGGAGGCAGGAGCTGGATCTAGAGTCTGCACAAAAAAGTCCAGGAACTCCTCAAGGCTCTGGAAATCAGAGGCAGAAAAAGAAGATGAGGAAGGCGCATCGGGAGAAGAGGGAGAGGCAGGACCTGATGGGGAGGAAAGAAAAGGAGGAGGGGCAGAAACAGGAGGGGAAGAGGCGGCTCCACCATGACTAGCAGGAACCTGAGGAGGAGAAGTACTGGGGGAGGCTGGAGCTGAATCCAGAGTATGTACAAAAAAGTTCAGGAACTCCTCAGGACTCTGGAAATCTGAGGCGGAAAAATCAGAAGAGCAGGAAGAAGAGGGAGACGTGAGAGCCGGAGAGGAAGGTGCTGGGGAAGGAAAAAGAAAGTTAGGAGAATCAGGAGGTGAAGAAAGAGGAGGAGAGGGAGGCTGAACACCAGGATCCACGACAGCCGCCTGCGGAGGGAGAACCACCAGCTGAGGGTCGTCCACCTGAGGGGGGTAGAAGCCCTGAGGAAGGTAGTCCACCTGCGGGGGATAGAGACCCTGCGGAAGGTAGTCCACCTGTGGGGGATAGAAACCCTGCGGACGGTAGTTCACTTGCGGGGGATAGAAACCCTGCGGACGGTAGTCCCCCTGCGGAAGGTGGTCCACCTGTGGGGGATAGAAACCCTGCGGACGGTAGTCCCCCTGCGGAAGGTGGTCCACCTGCGGGGGATAGAAACCCTGCGGACGGTAGAGACCGTGCGGGAGGTAGTCCACTTGCGGGGGATAGAAACCCTGCGGACGGTAGTCCCCCTGTGGGGGATAGAAACCCTGCGGACGGTAGTCCCCCTGCGGAAGGTGGTCCACCTGTGGGGGATAGAAACCCTGCGGACGGTAGTCCCCCTGCGGAAGGTGGTCCACCTGTGGGGGATAGAAACCCTGCGGACGGTAGTCCCCCTGCGGAAGGTAGTCCACCTGTGGGGGATAGAAACCCTGCGGAGGGTAGAGACCCTGCGGACGGTTGTCCACCTGCGGGGGATAGAAACCCTGCGGACGGTAGTCCCCCTGCGGACGGTAGTCCCCCTGCGGAAGGTAATCCACCTGCGGGGGATAGAAACCCTGCGGACGGTAGTCCCCCTGTAGGGGATAGAAAACCTGTGGAGGGAGGACCACCTGCGGGGGATAGAAACCCTGCGGAGGGAAGGGAAGATGAACCCGATCTTCAAGGTGACCTAAAAAAGAACATAAATCAAGTCATTTTTAGCATCATTCATGCAGGTTTGAAATATTGAAATCCTATTATGCAAGACGCTGTTGTTCCACTGAGGCCTCTACACTAGGGCTGGGCGATATGGCTGAAAACTATATCACAATATAAATAATTCATATCGGTCGATAACGATATTGATTATTATTATTATTATTTTACTTGAATAAATACGTTTGTCGTGTCTGCTAACACACTTTATCAGCCTTGTTTACAGTCACGGGGGAATGAGGCTAGAGCAATATGTTCACAAACAGCCTCCCCCATAGTTAGTCCTGGTGCAATCCTGGTTTAGTCCTGGTTTATCTCCTGTTTTGTGTCCCCATGACGACTCCGTGCGACCGCTCTCTGATAGCCGCACAGAGGAAAAAGTTCATCTCTTGCTTTTGCCGCATGCATCGGGTCTCTGTGTTCACTCTCTCTCCCGCGCCGCACATGCTATGCCTCACACGGACATGCATAAGTAAGTAGTAGTAATCTTTATTTATATACCGCCGAGTCTCAAAGCGGTTTACAATTGTTAATTTTGGGAAACCATTGACACGGCATTGAAAAACAATCTTAGATTGGTGCAGTTGTTGTTTTTGCATTTCCCAGAATGTTTTGCAGTCCATGATTGGCTGTGATAGGTTGAGAAGCCTATGCCTACATCCCCCAGAATGCCGCGCGCTTCTGACTCTGACTGAGAGTGAAGTTAAACTATCGAACATTCTATCGAGCCCCTTGTCTATTGCGATATATATCGTTTTATCGCCCAGCCCTACCTGACAATAAATAATTTTCAATTAATTGTTCCAGATTTGTTGCTGTCGTGCCATAAACGAGCGGACAGAACCAAAAACAAGCGGACAGAACCATAGACGCGCAAACAGAACCATAGACGCACATACAAAAACCATACACGCAAGGACAGAACCATAGGCGCGCAGACAGAACCATAAACGAGCGGACAGAACCATAAATGAGCCGACAGAACCATAGACGCGCAAACAGGACCATAGACGCACATACAAAAACCATAGACGCGCAAACAGAACCATAGACGCACATACAAAAACCATAGACGTGTGGACAGAACCATAGGCGCGTGGACAGAACCATAAACGAGCGGACAGAACCATAAATGAGCGGACAGGACCATAGACGCACATACAAAAACCATAGACGCGCAAACAGAACCATAGACGCACATACAGAAACCATAGATGCGTGGACAGAACCATAGACGCACATACAAAAACTACAGACGCGCAAACAGAACCATAGACGCACATACAAACCCCATAGACACGCAAACAGAACCATTGACGCACATACAGAAACCATAGATAAGTCGACAGAACCATAAACGCACATACAAAAACTATAGACGCGCAAACAGAACCATAGATGCACATACAGAAACCATAGATGCGTGGACAGAACCATAGACGCACATACAAAAACTATAGATGCGTGGACAGAACCATAGACGCACATACAAAAACCATAGACGCGCAAACAGAACCATAGACGCACATACAGAAACCATAGATGCGTGGACAGAACCATAGACGCACATACAAAAACTATAGACGCGCAAACAGAACCATAGATGCACATACAGAAACCATAGATGCGTGGACAGAACCATAGACGCACATACAAAAACTATAGATGCGTGGACAGAACCATAGACGCACATACAAAAACCATAGACGCGCAAACAGAACCATAGACGCACATACAAAAACCATAGACGCATGGACAGGACCATAGGCGCGCGGACAGAACCATAAATGAGCGAACAGAACCATAGACGCACATTCAAAAACCATAGACGCGTGGACAGAACCATAAACGCATATACAAAAACCATAGACGCATGGATAGAACCATAGACGCACATACAAAAACCATAGACGCGTGGACAGAACCATAGACGCACATACAAAAACCATAGACGCATGGACAGAACCATAGGCGCGCGGACAGAACCATAGACGCGCAAACAGAACCATAGACGCACATTCAAAAACCATAGACGCGTGGACAGAACCATAGACGCATATACAAAAACCATAGACGCGTGGACAGAACCATAAACGAGCGGACAGAACCATAAACGAGCGGACAGAACCATAAATGAGCGGACAGGACCATAGCCGAGCAAACAGAACCATAGACAGACATACAAACCCCATAGACGCGCAAACAGAACCATAGATGCACATACAGAAACCATAGACACGCAAACAGAACCATAGACGCACATACAAAAACCATAGACGCGTGGACAGAACCATAGACGCACATACAAAAACTATAGACGCGCAAACAGAACCATAGACGCACATACAAACCCCATAGACACGCAAACAGAACCATTGACGCACATACAGAAACCATAGATGCGTGGACAGAACCATGAACGCACATACAAAAACTATAGACGTGCAAACATAACCATAGACGCACATACAGAAACCATAGATGCGTGGACAGAACCATAGACGCACATACAAAAACCATAGACGCGCAAACAGAACCATAGACGCACATACAGAAACCATAGATGCGTGGACAGAACCATAGACGCACATACAAAAACCATAGACGCGCAAACAGAACCATAGACGCACATACAGAAACCATAGATGCGTGGACAGAACCATAGACGCACTTACAAAAACCATAGACGCATGGACAGAACCATACTGTAGGCGCGCGGACAGAACCATAAATGAGCGGACAGAACCATAGACGCGCAAACAGAACCATAAACGCACATTCAAAAACCATAGACGCGTGGACAGAACCATAGACGCATATACAAAAACCATAGACGCGTGGACAGAACCATAAACGAGCGGACAGAACCATAAACGAGCGGACAGAACCATAAATGAGCGGACAGGACCATAGCCGAGCAAACAGAACCATAGACAGACATACAAACCCCATAGACGCGCAAACAGAACCATAAATGAGCGGACAGGACCATAGCCGAGCAAACAGAACCATAGACAGACATACAAACCCCATAGACGCGCAAACAGAACCATAGATGCACATACAGAAACCATAGACACGCAAACAGAACCATAGACGCACATACAAAAACCATAGACGCATGGACAGAAACATAGGCGCGCGGACAGAACCATAAATGAGCGAACAGAACCATAGACGCACATTCAAAAACCATAGACGCGTAGACAGAACCATAAACGCATATACAAAAACCATAGACGCATGGATAGAACCATAGACGCACATACAAAAACCATAGACGCGTGGACAGAACCATAGACGCACATACAAAAACCATAGACACATACAGAAACCATAGACGCGTGGACAGAACCATAAAAAAGCGGATGGAACCATAAATGAGCGGACAGGACCATAGATGCGCAAACAGAACCATAGACGCACATGCAAAAACCATAGACGTGTGGACAGAACCATAGGCGCGCTGACAGAACCATAAACGAGCGGACAGAACCATAAATGAGCGGACAGGACCATAGACACGCAAACAGAACCATAGACGCTCGTACAAAAACCATAGACGCACATACAAAAACCATAGACACGCAGACAGAACCATAGGCGCGCGGACAGAACCATAAACAAGCGGACAGAACCATAAATGAGCGGACAGGACCATAGACGCGCAAACAGAACCACAGACGCACATACAAAAACCATAGACGTGTGGACAGAACCATAGGCGCGCGGACAGAACCATAAACGAGCGGACAGAACCATAAAAGAGCGGACAGGACCATAGACACACATACAAAAACCATAGACGTGTGGACAGAACCATAGGCGCGCGTACAGAACCATAAACGAGCGGACAGGACCATAGACGCGCAAACAGAACCATAGACGCGCAAACAGAACCATAGACGTGCAAACAGAACCGTAGACACACATACAAAATCCATAGACGCACATACAGAAACCATAGACGCGTGGACAGAACCATAAACGAGCGGACAGAACCATAAATGAGCGGACAGGACCATAGACGCGCAAACAGAACCATAGACGCACATACGTAAACCATAGACGTGTGGACAGAACCATAGGCGCGCGGACAGAACCATAAACGAGCGGACAGAACCATAAACGCGCAAACAGAACCATAGACGCACATACAAAAACCATAGACGCACATACAGAAACCATAGACACGTGGACAGAACCATAAAAAAGCGGACAGGACCATATACGCGCAAACAGAACCATAGACGCACATACAAAAACCATAGACATGCAGACAGAACTATAGGCGCGCGGACAGAACCATAAACGAGCGGACAGAACCATAAATGAGCGAACAGAACCATAGACGCGCAAACAGAACCATAGACGCACATACAAAAACCATAGACGCACATACAGAAACCATAGACGCGTGGACAGAACCATAAACGAGCGGACAGAACCATACAGTAAATGAGCGGACAGGACCATAGACGCGCAAACAGAACCATAGACGTGTGGACAGAACCATAGGCGCGCGGACAGAACCATAAACGAGCGGACAGGACCATAGACGCGCAAACAGAACCATAGACGCACATACAAAAACCATAGACGCACATACAGAAACCATAGACACGTGGACAGAACAATAAACAAGTGTACAGAACCATAAATGAGCGGAAAGGACCATAGACGCGCAAACAGAACCACAGACGCACATACAATAACCATAGACGTGTGGACAGAACCATAGGCGCGCGTACAGAACCATAAACGAGCGGACAGAACCATAAATGAGCGGACAGGACCATAGACGCACAAACAGAACCATAGACGCACATACAAAATCCATAGACGCACATACAGAAACCATAGACGCGTGGACAGAACCATAGACGCACATACAGAAACCATAGACGCATGGACAGAACCATAGACGCACATACAGAAACCATAGACGCGTGGACAGAACCATAGACGCACATACAGAAACCATAGACGCACGTTCAGGACCATCCCCAGTTTGTTGGAAGTGCAGGTCTCCCTCGTGTCTCCTCCCGAAGCGCAACCAAAACTTACAAAATGAATGCTCGGGTACCTAAATTTCCCCTTGCATTAACAACACGTGTTGGTTGTGCACAAAACTAAAATGTTGTGAACAAATCAAACGGAACACACCACAACAGTCGTCTTGTTTTTAATTTTGCACACTTAAAGCTGCACTAACTGACTTTGGGATTTTGAAGCCGCGGACTCATTGGCCTCGCTCTTTCTGCTCCCCTCCCCGCACCCACGAAGCTATCGCCCCCCACACACACTCACTGTTGGGACGTAGCTAGCCTCTCCCAATATGGATAATACATGGATATGGATTTTCACGTGGACCATAGAACGATAGAACCGGGAAGCGCGGAGGAACGAGACTTTCTTTTGGATGGCTGTTTCGCTGTGTAAGCAGTACCCGGTGACGAAGACGAGAAAGTTTCAGGTTAGCTCCGCCGCTTGTTGTGCTAACTCAGCTGTCTGTGCTAACGGACCTGGAGATTTCTCACGAAAGTGGGGGCTACTCGTCCGTTGTGATTGGTCACAATCTGCGACCCAAAACACATTCTCTTCCTTGTTTCATCAAAACTCGATCGAAAATATAATGTCAGGCCAGCACAAATCTGCGCTACTTTTTCTTCAAAAGGACGTATATCCCAATGCACTACATGGACATGGATAGCATTTTCGTAATGAATACGAAAATAAAGTCAGTTAGTGCAGCTTTAAGTCGGTCATTTTTTTTGACTTTTTGGGCTGAAAGTGGATTTTTTTTGCCACCGTTAGTGCCAAACTCTTCTTAACTCATTGTATTGAAAAATATTTGGACCATTAACTTTTGACAAGAAAATGGTACTTGTCCAAAAGGCAGGACGCTGACAAAGCTTGATGTCAAGGCCTGCATTTGTATGAGTAGAATATTACAGGGGCTCTTATTGTTGACTTAAAGCATTTTCTTATTGTTGAAATGAGAATTATAAAAAAAATAAAAAAAATAAAAAAATCAGTACAGGCATTTTCTACTTCACTATGCACTGTTTTTGATACCAATACTGTTACTGTCAAATGTATCAGTGTTACAGAAATACAAAAGCTATTGGTACTTGGCATCAGAAGAGTCTTTTTTATTGAAACATCTCTACCCTGAATAGTTTGAAGGCACAAACAGGGGTCAACTTGCCATGTGGTAACTACCGTATTACAGAAACAGAAACAAAGAATGGTGTAAGAGAGGAACTCACGAACAGAAGATGAGTGGTCTCCACCTCCAGCGTGGGTCGGAGTGCGGCGGTGGTCTCCTAAGACAGAACAAATATTGATATTTGAAAAGCAAAAAAATAATAATACATGGTTGAAGGGCAGAGGTTTTTTTGTTTGACTGGCAGAGTCCCTGTTAGTGAGCACACCTGTACCATAATGAGTGTTAGTGGTGGAACAATTCAAAAATAAACATTCCATAGGGACGGCCGCCATTTTGTTTTCCAAAAACGCAGCAGGAAAGTTACGGATTTCAACAAACCATGACATAAATACTGTTGTTTTCATGAATATGTCTCAGAAAATGGTTAGTTCCCTTCCTAAGCTACAGATTTATGTCACTTTATCCAAGTATTAGCCATTAATTCATCCTTAAATCGTCGTCTGAAATGTCTAGATTTGTGCAATATGCAGTTAATGCAGCCATAATTTTACAACGTAGAAACATTGTCTTCTTGATTAGTTATCCACATTATGTGAAAACATCCACTCTTCCCATACATTTATTCTGATGTTTTAGTGAAATATGACAATTAATATGTTAAAAGAGTTTACCTTGGCCCCGATGGTTGTCCATGTTGATGCTTGCTCAAAAGTTTGGTAGTCGTTTGTAAATCTGGCAAAGTGTAAAATAATCAACACAACAGGGTTAATTCTATGAATAGTGACTGTCCCACTAAGCTTGGGTCGATATTGTTGATGTAAAACGTAATGAAAGTATTGGCACCTGCTGAAGCTCAAAGCTCTGCAATCCCTGGCTCGGTCAAAGTCAGAGTGACGTCTTGACGCCTGGCACCTACATTTATACACTTAGCGTTGCTATGGAAATTACGCAGCTGCGTCGGCTATATATGTTATTTAACAACATCACTTTTGCCCATGCGTTTGCCACACTCCTGTTATTGGTGGCTAAAGCACATGTTTTACTTATTGTTTTCAACCCGGTGTCACTGTTTTTGACATTCCAGCAAGTGGCCGCGGGTCTGGGAAGCGCATGAGATGTCAGAAGTGCGGACAAATCAGCAACGAATACTTTTAGATCAGTAAATCTTGTTGCGCACACCTGCTGAAAAGTCAGATTAGTGCACGGATTGTGCGTTTGATTATTTCTACTGCGCCTCCTATCACTGTGCAACACCACTAACTGCGACTATGAGACATCTTCATCTTCTTGAACCTGCTTCACGTCTTCCTCATATACATGAAGCAGACACTGCAGAAGTTAATCTTGCATATAGTTGCTGAGGCTCATTACTCAGCCGTTACTCATGCATTTTGAGTCTGGAGTCAATCCTAAACATAGTTTTATAAATGCTCCTGAAACTACTTGTGTAGTGAGGAGACAGTGTTGTACAGTGTTGGTGACTTTGTGTGGAAAACGGAAATCCATGGTTTAGGATCATGATTTTATTCAACCAAACAAGGTGTCGTCTCAAAGGATGTTTTGTGATGCCAAACAAGAAGCCGACTGAAACTGCCAACACTTGAATAAAAGCCTGTGATCTGCATAAAGCGCAGTTCCTTTGTTTCTGTAAATTGTTTTTAGATGTAAAACAAACTTGTATTCAATTCAAGGGTTTTTTAAAAGTTGGAAGATCTCTTTTTATAGTTATGTGCGAAGATGAAACGGTATGATGTTGAAACTACATGAATCAAGTATTGAATCAGAAGCTGCAGTGATTATATTTGTCCAGTAGATGTCAGTGTTACAAGCGAGTTTGAGCAGCAAAGCCTGGGATTGTTTCATTACCATTTTTTACTACATATCTTTGCGAATAATCCTTTTCGGGTATGCTCGACATAAAACCCAAGAAAAGGAACAGACTTTGCTGTGAAAATGATATAAAAGTGGCAGCCAGGTAAAGCCACACATATCTGAACTGGTCTCTCAAAGGCAACAAGAAGTCACACTGATTTGCAGGTATGTCATTTGTTGTGAGTTCATGCATTGTTTTGATTTTGTTCTGATGATGGTGATGTGAGATCAATAAAGTTTATCTTATGTTCATGCACGGCTCATTTTCTGCACAAGTAAAAAACCTCCATGTCTTGAAAAAAAGAAATCTCATTTTGTTAAGAACCACTGCTCTAGTGTATTCATTCACTTAAACTAATGACTCTTTTAAAGGTAATAGGCATAATAAAGATAGCTTCAGTCTTTTTGCTGTAAAGTTTCTGTTCTGTAATGATAAATGTTCAAGATGCTTTGGGCTGAGAGAGGATTGGTTGAGTGAGGGTGGCTCTTTTTCTCTTTTCTGTCTGAAAAAGCTAGTTCAAAAGATGTGAAATGCCAAAACTACATGAGAGAACTGGTAATAACAAGTCAAAAGTTTTCAAAGCCAAGAACTATACAATTACATTACATAATTCTGTTTTTTGTGTTTTTTCTAAGTGGAGCTCTAAGTAAAAACCTCAGATTAAAAAGACCCAGTAAATAAACATGGAAGCAACAGTAATGCATTGTGTGTGAGAGAAAGACACAAAGACCACAATTTCAAATGCCATTTATGTCACTGACTTTTCATGAATACAAATGCATACACAGATCACCACATAAAACCACAGAGCAAAACACTATTGCAATAAACATCATTGAACAAATAGAAAAAAGTCTTGAGCTCGGAGGGAAGGGTCTTACACGATCACATGCTCGTTCATGACCGTAATACACATTCAAATAGAGCATTGGATATTTACAAACCGCACACATTCAGTCCATTCTCACACACACAGCTTATATAATACAGCATTGAAGAAGAATGGCTGTAAAAGGCATGTCTAGAGGGGTGTTACAGTAAGTAGTATGAAAACAATTTTAAACAGCCAAACAAAGTGTACATAGAACACATTTTTTACACAATTAAGCCAACTTTACTTAATATAAATATTCTTCATCCAAAAGTCAGTGCAGTGCTGTCTGCTCAGGTCATGGCCTGGTCCAAAACCCAGTCTACAACAGACCTGGTCCTAATTACTCCACACACAATCGTCTACATCAGTTTCACACTCGTCTATGCTTTGGGTGCGTGTGTTACATGTTTATCGATCCAGTACCTCAAAAGACCAGCTGTGAAGTACTAGAGTGGTTTGACAATAACATAAGCCAATACAAAAAGAATGACAAATTTACAAATGTCCTTATTTTGTTGTTGTTTTGTTTAGTTTGACTCCTGAATTTCCCTTTTAAAAAGTTCACTGATGGCAGAGCTCTACTGGATTCCCCTGAAGAGACACATTGCGAAGACCATGGCAAAAAGCTGTGAAAAGAAAAAAACATACATTTAATTATATTAATTCCATACATAGTGTGTACGATGAATGGTGCAAAGTTCTTGTTTTTCTCATTGCATCACAAACACAGTTATGCTTCATTGTCAACTACACAGCTTAGGCCTGCATTTGCAAAAGTTACTTTACCATTGTTTTAACTAGGCTGAAAACATATCCATTTAGCTGCGCATACATTTGATTCTATTTTGTTCTAGCTGGAAAGAGTGTTTAAAATAAGGCTTGCTGAAAGTGAAAATGAAAGTTCATATTAGCCACAATGTTGTACATATACAGTAGAATACTTTTGAGCATAGCTAACTTAAAAGGTATATAGGAGGATTTTCTACTTCCGGGTGGATCATCAAGACTTGTATGGACCTTGAGTCCAGAAAAAAGATGATTATTATTATTACTATTATTATTAGGTCCTCCCAATTGTCAATCATTCTAGTAATAAGTGCTCCCTGGTCTTATTTGAATAAGACCACGGAGTTCTGTTCAAAAAGTGCAAAGGGCGGTTCTTTCCTAAAATTTGGGAAAATCCTGTTATATACCTTGAATTTGGCCAAATGGGTATGATAAAAAATAATAAAAAACTGATCTGGGGCAAGAAATGAGTTTCACTGTGGGGTCATAATGTTGCGTGTAAAATGTTGGCTATGTTGCCGTTCAACGGCCGGCCACTAGATGGCAAACTCGCCATATGTAATACAAAGGAAACATGAGGTTCCTTTGAAACCTTAAATAAAATGCATTTTATTTACATTCATAAGAACATAAAAAGGGGCCCATATTTATACTCTTACTTTATTCTTAAAAGTACTTTTCTTTACCTCAATTGTCAGCACCACGATAGCCAGCGCTCCAGCCACATAGATGTAAAGTTCAAAGTAGTCAACCACAGAAGAATAGCAGCCCTGAGGACACAAAGAGGCAGCAGACACAACATGAATGAGTGGGCCATAAAGCACAATAAACATGCTGAATAATAGACACAATTAAAGCTACACTGCGTCTTTAATCGAGTGAGGCGGTGAACAAAAGGGTGATTGAAAGACTGGAACAACATCCTCACTGCTTTTTAATGAGCTTCTTTGTGTGAATAAATACAGACACACAGCCTTCAGATCCAACCAGCACCTTTTGTTCTGAGGGTTTGAACAACAGGTGGAAGGCCCCGAAGCCTTCTCCCATCTCTGCTCCCACATCATATACTGTCACCACAAGGAAGATTTACACTACTTTCTCAGTCGCACAGATTCTCATGTGTTTACTGAGAAGAATATTTTGGATAGAACAGAAAACATGTTGTGATATTTCATGAAGTCCTAAATAGGAGTGAATGACATGCCGCCAGACCAATCACAATTTATCTGACCCTGTACATGGTTTTATGATGCACGATAAGCACTGTAGCAATTATGACAATAAAATGTTATATCTTGGGATTACTGTATGAACCGTATGTAAACTAAATAAGTGAAAGAGATGGAGGTGAAATATATTTTACTTATGTTATAAGTTATTTACTTAAGTCCCTGCCAACTGTAGGGAGGATTACAATGCTATAAACATAAAGTTTTCTACTTGGATAATTAAAAATCTATCATCAATAAAATCAAAATATAAAACATGACCTGGAGTCATAAAGCCACAGTTTATATATTATTAAAGTCTTTTATTTTTTAAAAATTAAGACAATTTATTCTCCATGGAAAAAATGTACATGGGACAAAGTAGAGCTCCAATGATGAAATCCATCGCGGGACGCATAAAGGAACTCTTATCATAAAGTTGTGACAAACATTCACCTCAGCTTTACATGGGGAAAAACTGAGATAAAGTATCACATTTGCATCTAAACATCTAAAGTATAACTATTATTGATTTATTGATTATCAACATAATCATTAGTTACAGCCTGACAACATTTTAGGTGGATTGTCTGACCCTTCATCATAATAATGTCTGACACAAAATTATACACTCTCCATGGACCCAAAAGCTAATGGTTTTTTTGTCAATAAAAACAAAAAATAACCACAACTAAAAACATGTGCAATCGTTCAGGGTGAATGAGTGTGTGTTTGTGAGTGCGAATGTGGGACAACATATGCAAATTAGCCCACGGCTACAATTCAGAGTGATGTGTTCATGAACATGTACTGTCCCAACCAAATGAACAATAAATAAATAAATAAACGTTCATGCGACAAACATAACTTTTCTATTCCTACTATGTTTCAGCTCTGTGCATAGCATCAGTGAATACCAACTATCCCACTCAGACTTGCTCCCACAGACGTCTATGACACTAACCAGCCATCGGAGAAGGCGCAGTGGTCCCTGGGTGCCACCCCTCAACCGGCTCCAACTTTAATTAAGGCAAAATGTGCATTGAAACGTGCGGGCGGGAATGATCGAGGGACAGGTGAGGAGGTAGAGGTGCTGACACGCTGCTTACCTTATTATTGCGGAACATCATATTTCCCGATAAGCATTGCTCCCGGCTGATGTAAGACATGTCTCCGGCCTGATTGGCGCGGTGGCAGCAGGCCTCGGGCACCACATGATCCGGGTTGATGAGGCGGAAGAGACTGTCCTTAAAATCCTCTGGGCTGTTCACTCCGCAGCAGTCGAACTACAGGGGAAGGGAGGACAATGAAGAGGCCATTAGACATGAGGGCAGCTATTTGTGCAACTGTGGTCAGCAGTGTGTTCATGTGGTAAGAGTGGAGAAGCAGCCCCTTTAACGTCTGTCTGTCCAAGCTGTCATATGTAACAAGCCGTTTAGTGGTGGCTAAATATGTATATATATATATATATATATATATATATATATATATATATATATATATATATTCAGACTGTAATACTCCTAAAACCTTTCTGACCTGGAATCAGGTAGCATGGATTGGCATAACACTTTGGGGGCCACATTCAAAAAATGCGTGCTTGTTGAGGCTAACCTTTTTGCATCTCTTTATTTATCCCTGTGGGGAAATTTATCCTCATTTTACCCCTCCTGATGCCACTAGGACGTCTGTCAGGAGCAGTGGCTGCCGTAGTACAGCGCCCGGGAACCCATCTCCAGATATTGATGCTCGGTCAGGACTACCAGAGCTGGAGGATTTACCTTTTGTGCATGTTATTAGTGGTAGGGGGAAACCGGAGCACCCGGAGGACAATTACGCAGGCACGGGGAGATCCTGCGAACTCCAGTCAGAAAGACCCCGTTCCGACTGGGATTCTAACTTGGACCTTCTTGCTGAGACCTATCCACTCAGTCACCGTGTCGAGTGAATGGAAATTTTATTACATCATATACAGTATATATATGTATTTTTACATTATGTAGGTAACTCTGAATGAAATGGGAACATAACTCGTGCTGAACCAAAACGAGACTAAAAGTAAGAAAGGCTTGTTATTGCATTATTATTATTGCACTCTGGTTTCATTGTTTAGATGTGGCTGTATTATTGAGAAAAAATAGCTTTAGTAATGTATAACATGACAAGATAGACTATAAAATAATTAATATAATAAAAATAATGACAAATAATTTCAAGTACCCCCTGTAATATCCTTGTGTATGTGTAATCACTGCTCTATAAAACACCTGGTGGGCATACCGTGTTCATGATGGCATTCCATGTAGAAGTGAAGACGTCGGTGTTGTTGACGCCCTGATAGTGCCTCTTCAGCTCTTTGGTGAAGTACTCTCTGGTCAGCTGGAGGTCAAGGCAGAAGACAACGTGCTTTGATTACAAGCAGGATTCTTTACATGTTAAAGGCTAGAGTCATGCAGACACACTACGTCACCTCTGCAAGTTATAACATTTAGTACATTATTAAACAACAACAAAAACTTAAAACCATGGGGAAATCAGCTATTTATTGGTAGAAGAACAGTATGTGTCAAGCAGTATGTGCATAAAAGCTCTAAGATTTCTTATTTTCACAAGAAACATTTGGAGAACACATATAAACTGAATAGTAATTGCCATGCACAAGGTAAACTTACGTGTTCTCGGAAAATGAAGGCCAAGATGGCAGCAGCCAGCTCTGCTAAGAAGATGAGGAGGATGAGCATGAAGAACTGCAATAAGACGAAAGAAAGAGCAGTTTGAGTCGAGGTCCCCGAAAAAAAATCAACATTTGCAAGCTAATACACACAAAAATCATACCAGTTTAATAATGAAATATTAATATTGTGTATATTGTCTAATATTCGCTTGAATGTTATTATTTTTTGTTATTTTCAAATTATGTTCAAATACAAATACATTTTCCCAGTGCTATATCACTGTGTATCCTGAATTTATTCTTTGTAAACGTACTCCCTCACTGTGACTGTGTGCACTCAGAGTAAGAAAATCAGGTTAGGCGATTTAAAAACACCAACCCATGAAAAGGGAGAGTAATGGAGACACATGTAAATCTAATAGAAAAATATGTTCTGTTCTCAAAATGCATTCTAAGAAAAATACCATGACACGACATAAATTCGGGGAAAAACAGATGATGTGATGTCGAGGTGAACTCACAAAGAGCAGCAGACACTTGTTCTCTTTGATGGCTCCGCAGCAGCCGAGGAAGCCCAGCAGGAAGAGCATACCCCCCATGCCCAGGACGATGTAGACCCCTGTGAACAGGAGTGGGTTCGCTGCTACGATCTCCCGGAATCCTGTGGGGTCCACCAGCACCCACACCCCCACCCCCAGCAGGAACGAGCCTCCGAGCTGACGAGGAGAACACATCATAACGCTGGTTAGAGAAAACACACGCGCTTTTGAACATTTAATGAGGAATCACAGGATTAGTCTGCGTCCCCTGCGGCAGGCCAAAATATTCATCTTTTTTTTCAATAATAGGCTTAGTTCATTTATACAAGAGAGGAGGGATACATACAGTACATGTTTTTATTTCAATATAAGGTTAGTTGAGGCTATAGATACTCCTTGGATGAAGCAGATACTGTACATTTTTTTAACCAGGCACACAGCAATATGATTCTGTAAGTTGTGTTCATGCGACATCACAACATTCCAAAAAGCCTGTAGTTTAAACTTGGTTGTGGACAGTAGCTTTGTTGTTACTACATATCAACAGTGGTCTAATCGTTTTCCTCATAAAGCTGGCAACTGCAAAAACACTTCTAGAGCAATTGAGGTTACAAAAATATGCATGTGTAATTGGGTATTTCACCTTTTATTATGTGAAATACCGTTATAAAAGGCAAAACATGTGTTACCAGGTCGATCAGCAGAGACAACTTTGTAAAGTCCTCTGAGACAAGTGCTGTAGTGAATTAGAGCTTAATGAAAAAGTGCACCATACGTTTTTGTACATAGGATACAATAGTTTACAAAATAGACCAAAAGTTCAACCAAAATGATGTTGATCCATCTACAAATAATTTACATATTAGAATCTACATACAACATGTTTTTGTATTTGTCCTATAGCTGCTAAAACTAGATGGAGTCAAAATAATAAGTCCATTAAATCAGTACAGAACAACCCAGTGTACAAACTGTGTAGTAAAAATACAGACATTGGCCGCATTGCTTCATAGAAGAAGAAGAAAAAGGTCCTTTATTCGTTCCACAATAGGCTGCAGGGTTCAAAGAAATTGGAAAACAAATCCATGTATCAAGACTAATAATGATTTGCATGAAAACACTTTGAAAAAATGAACTAATTCAGAAATACGAGGGGGAAAGAAAGTGATGCTGGGTAGGGTCGGAGAGTGTTTGGGCCTGTGTCTTGTCTCGAGTGTGTATCTTGTGTTATACCATATGACATTGAACTGGGTTACCGTTCTACTGTTTTTTCTTTGGTTCTTATGGACATTATTTGTTTCTTGTTATCATTGTAATTATTTTGCAGTGTAAAATTGTGTTGTAAAGGTAAAAAAGAAAATATTTTTTTTTTAATGCATGCTATAGATACCCCAGCTATCTTTGTGGGTGTGGGAAAAGAAAGAGGCTGTTTTCCCGCACCCTCAGCCTGTCAGGGATCTCCACAGAAGAGCAGGCTTATTCCTGAGCTCCCACGCCTCTGTAAAGCCCCATACATACACGAGGTGCAGGTGTCAAACTGACTCACGTGATTAAGAAAGGAGACGGCTGAGGTGTGGTGGGGGGGGGAGGCCAGAGCTGTCTTCCTGTCACAAAGACCTGGGTTTCCACAAATGAGCACCAGAACAGCGGTGGAAGCCATTTTCGGAGCTCATTTGGTTTTGGAAAATATGCATGTGTGTGAAATAGGCAAAGACAAACACTGTATTGGAGGAGAGGAGATCTGTATAATGAATTAGTTACCGTGTCAAAGGAATGAACTGTGGAAAAATATCATATAGCCTGCTCAATTCATCAATAGAATGGGGAACCCGCTTGAGTGGAGACTCGTAAAGCTAAGGTACCTGTGAGTCACTACTTGACAGTTTTGGTTAAGAGGCGATGGCTAAATGAAGATGGTCTCCTCTATTTCACAGACAGAGGCCAAATAATACATGCATGTGAAAGAGGAATTAATGGTTATTTGGATTTTATGATATCATTACATTTTTGGGGGTTTGAAAGATAAAGACCCCTGCTTTATTAGGCCATGTTTACACGGAGACGCTGTGATAGTAAGACGATAGCGTTGACTGGTGGAATGCCAGGCTTTCAAAAACGGCCTCCAGAATGATGTTGGTGCATTCTTTCCCCGTTTTGCAGTGGCCCGAGGAAGATGTTGTTGAGGAAGTGGTTATACTGAGGGTGGTGTTGTAAATGACTGGCCACTACTGGGCGCTAGAACTACATCATTTTCACTCGACGCTTTGCATTTCGAAACCGTAGTGGGGTCATATTTGCGAATTACTTGGCTGCGTGTCCGTGTAAACAGGGCTATAGTCTGTGTGCACTTAATAAAGCAGAAAAGGACAACCCCTCCCCCTTCACAGACCGAGAGCTACAGGATTACTGTTGATTGTCTGATCGAGGCTGATAAGTCCAGGTGCCAGTCACAGAGCGTGGCCTCAGATGTGTGTCAGCACTCTCAAATCTAATCAGAGTTGAATTTGATACAATCAGCAGCAGATTGGCTCAATCTAATGAAATGCAAATGTGTTTCCATTAGAGACGGACAGGGGGCGGCCACCAGACCATCTTAAATCATTAGTGCCGACGTGTCTTAAGTGCGGTCCATGGACGAGGATCAAATCAAATAGATTTCCTTTTGTAACGCTCAATATCACAACAGCAGTTGTCTCAAGGGACATCACAGAATTGTAGATTAGTCAAAAGCAGATCAGAAAATCAAACTATTGGAACAATAAGTAATACAATATTAAAATACTTATTAAAAAGAGTCATCGGTCCATATGATAACAGGCTGACCAATATCCCCGCCTTTTGACAAGGAAAGGAAAAGAAAAAGATGAACATATTGGTCTATTTTTACTGCAACACATTTTTTTTTACTATTACTAAAACATTTTTAAATCTACAACACTGCAGAATACTGAACACCTGTAATGCCACTATTTCTTAAATTTTAAGACCCTTTTAACACATTTCTTGTGTCTTCTGTGAGATCTATTGATATCAAAATATTTAAAAACAACATCTCTGTATGCACTCATCTTTTCTTCTGTCACAGCGCATTCATCACAAGGTGTCTTTTCTACAGATATTATTTATGTTATATATGTAAGAACAAGTGCCAAACGAAGGAAATAAATGCCGAAGAAAAGGTAGTGAAGATTTATCAGGAGTCCAAAATAAATGTCCGTTAAGCTTTTATCCATACATCATACATTTGCATATCAAACAGAGCAGTTCTCAGAAAGCCATAAAAGATACTTACAAATATGAGGAAGTTGAAGACAAACATGAGGTACTTGATGCAGCTGAGGCAGTCCCCCTCCATGGAGGTCCCCCGCGCTGAAGCCTCTCCCTGCCCCTGAACACAAAACACAAAACACTTTGAATACCTCCAAACATTCACCGGATCCCCATTCTTCACCTGCCAACAGTACAACCCCGTGTACAAAAACACACGCTCACATTTTAATGAATTCTGCCACTCAAGTACAAAACCCACACAGCTCTGTCAGTTCATTTGGTCCAATTTCAACAGAAAATTCAGGCATTATTCCCCGAGGCGCTCTATCACATCTTCTTGACGTTCTAAGTAACTGCAAGTTTGTCCTACGCACTGTCAGCCAACCTGACACAGCTTATGTCATTTCAAAACCAACTTTCTCTGTTAGTTGGGTTGATTACCTTTATACTGCCGGGGTAGGACAGATGGGGGTCTGCTGCGTGGCCAATTTCAGGGCATTTTAAGGATATGACTTTCCTTGTGCATTACCAGCGCACGTATGGCCCGCCCCTTTAACGTAATGAGAAAGCAGAAGCCCTTTGCTCCCATAAGCCAGTCTTTCTCTTTGACAAACACACTCTACCTGATGAGGGTCCATCCTGGCGGAGCGCGGACTATAATGAAGAATGCGGCTCTTGCATTAGGCCCATATGGTGTCTTTCTCTCTATATAAATGGCCCTATACGTCTATAACCCACCTGCCAAAGCGCTTTCAGTGAATTTAACCCATGAGACACAAACGAATAAGACCTCCCATAAGGGTCATTGAGCTTGCTGGTTCTCAAACTGAGGTACACAGCCTGGAGCGCAGAATCAGAATAATCTTTTATTGCCATTGTGAGTAACAGGGAGCCACAAACCAGGAAATTGCTTTGGCTCTCTTTGCTTTGGCTTTATAAAAGTAAAAATAGATTAAGACATGCATTAGAAGAAAAACAAAATCTATATAACATTTCTCAACGATTTCTTTCGATAAGTGCACAATAGACATTTAGTAGTGCAGTAAAGTGACAGTAGCATAAAGTGACATTGATCAAAGGCATGTATTTTATTTCGGGTTATATCTAATTTATGCAAGAGGTCCAGGTTAAAGCAAGGGTATTTTTTTTGTCCCAACAAAAAAAGTCAAATGAGGCCACAACAGGCTCTTTTACATACTCAATTTGGACTTAAATAAGTAAGAATGAACCTTGTGGGGGAAAAAAACCCACTGAATCTTGGGTAGCTGTGTTAATTTAGCTTTGCTGTTGTCAGCTTGTGATGCAAGGAGTATTCCAAGTAAAGTTATTGAAATTTCCTAAAGGCATTTGCTGATTTTGTCCAATAATCACGCCTGCTAAATAGACCATTATTTCAGATCCTATACCAGGCAACACAAGGACAACAGAACAAGCAAACTCATTTAAGACATTTAATTAATGGATTCTATTGAGTCCATTAAATACTCTACAAAAGAAAGCATGCAGTGTTTACATTCGTGGCTGCGGTTATTAACTGGCACTTCCACAATGCTTCCATAGTATCAAGCGGATTTAACCACAATCTCTCAAAAGGATTGGCATTTACACAATAAAGCAGCAAGTCTTTCACGTCCAAATTGAAAAGTCTGAAAGCTTTCTCCTCAGTCTTTTGTGAACACTTTGGAGTGCATCTGTCTGCGGTTATCTCCTGATCTGAGGAAGGGTTTCTCACAGACTGTGGTGTCGGCCAGATCCTCAAGTGATGTCTCGGAGTGAAGCTGGGGTTAGAATCGACTCAGCCTCAGAATCCTGGCTCTTTGAAGGACTGCTGCAGCCTACCCGTGCCCCTCCTTCACCCGGACTTTCACTCTATCGACCGACGTATCAACATTTTTGGCGGGGATTTAGCAGGGATAACCTTCACCTTAGCTGATCTACTATAGAGCACTGCAGACTTTTTGGGTTACTTTGAAAGGGTGGAAAAGGCACCAACAATTGCCAATAAATAAAATGAAGAAATACGTAAGCTGATGTCATTGAACATCCTAAATGTTCAATTACAAAAGACAAAAAAAACGAAACATTGATATTTGTGACATGTGCTTGTGAGTTGCCAAAATGGTCCTGATTCTTAATTATTTTTGATGTTGGTTAACCAGAACTCCCCAATACATTATACACAATACACAGCCTTTTTCTGCCAATACAAACACTGTTAAAGCAGGGGGACCTAACTTTCAAACAAAAAAACAGGGACCTGTAATAAATATGGTCACTAGTAGTTTGGTTCCATCACTAGTTTTCATGTTTTTTTAGCCTCAAGTAAAACGTTTTGCTTTATCAGACAGGGAAAGTAAATAAGCGGACCAAGGTTTCTCAATCAGCTCTGCCAGTGGCTCTTACAAGTATCCAAAAGATAACATGTTTTATAATAAGATAGTCTGAACACTTTTATTCATCTAGTTCCCATGTAACCAACAGCACTTTTCATTTAGCTCCCATTATATTCCTCGCTCCATTGTGCTTTAATGCGACTGAAACTTTTCCCTCATTATTTAAGTTGCCTTGATACAACAACAGAACAATGTAAAACAGGCTGCCTTTGTCTTGCTGTGAGAGCCAGTTAGCACAAAATGAGAACATTTCTTTCCCTCGCTGTGCAGAGGGCTTATTATTTCCCCGCACTCCACTCTGAGGGAAAATTGATTTGGCGCTACAGTTAAACACCTCCTCTAAATCATAATGAGATGCTGAGGTATTGATCACAGGGCTGAGAGCGGCCCAAGAGCCTTGTACAGGACCAGGAGAGCTTTAATTAACCCTTTCCTTTTCAGAGGCGCATTAATGAGAGCGCAGCAGGTCTTAATTGAGATTTGCATGTATTAGAAAGACGGAGCCATTATCCCTGCTCTTTGCACCCTTTGTGAGGTTTTGGTGAGGAATATTACAAACTGTGGGGTGTACGCAAGCTGGGAAAAAAATATCTGAAACAACAATGGAGGCTTGTGTATTTAATGAATGACTTTAGAGAGAGAAAATCTTAGAAAAGCAAGATAAAATGTACTTTTGCGTTCAGGGTCACAGCAGAAAATCTAATACAGCATGCCATCTGCTACCTTCTTTATTTATTAAAGCTTGGATCCAACATATTGCACAACTACAATAAATAAAACACAGCATCGGATACAACAGGACATTCACGATGTTGTGAATACTGATAATATTATCCGTTACTGTATGTATTATAGTGAGTACTATGTCAGGCTGGGCGGATTCTACTGCTCTGTATTTTAAGATTGCTGTTACTTAGCGACATTCCTCAAGAAAAAAAATGCATCAATGTTTTTTACTACTGTCGAACATGAACTTACTAAATGATAAGGGGGAAAACACATTTCTACTTAAAGCAGGTATTGATTCTTTAGGCGCAGTTTAAAAAAAAAGATCAGAACAGACAATGCTATGGTAAAGAAAACAGACAAAGCGTTACTTAAAAACAAGCCTTAGAAGTCAGGAAGCTGTATAAATAGAATATACTTTAACTCTTTTCTCCCACAGGGTAAACTTTTCTTTATGGCTGTTAATCTCTAATTTTGTATTTGTAAAATCATCAACTGTTTTGCAAGTCATTCTGATAAGAACGCTTCACAATTCCAGGCATTGGACTGGCACAAGTGTTGGCTTTGCTTATTTCAAAATCAGGCGCCGAGTACGACCGTTTCAAGTTGTACCCCGGAGACTGCATTTTTTGCTGCCTTGTCCAAAATTTTCCAGAGCGTCCCACCCTGTTTACTTTTATCTTTAAGGTCAACAAAAAATGCTTGATCTTCAGCCAGTTTTTCTTATTCCGCAGTGAATCCGATGGATAAACATGGAGTGGGCAGTGCGGCTATAGTAAAGGCAGGAAAAGTCTATGGTCCACAGCAGCGCCGCATAAATCAACCTGCCACGAGACCCCAGAGAAAGTGCAGCGTAAACAAACTGCTCGTTCCCATGACTCCCTGGAGAGCACAGGTCCTCATCCATCACCGCTGGCCGTACGCTTCGCCAACACGCTAACGGACCACTGAAGATTCTGCAGGCAACATTATCCATGCACAAGGACACCAGTTCACACCCCAGGAGCCGAGACTGCATCAACAAATTACTGAAAGATTAAAAGAGGACAACAGCAGGTTCAACGTTAAGATGCAGCGCAGTGGTAGACCACTAGATGGGGAAGTGAAGTTTGCCAACAAACAAAAAGTGGAAAAACAAGCAAAAGTTTTTTTGTTTTGAAAGACTGGTACATTATAAATACTAGGGATGTTTATTATATTTATATATTTTTCAATATTCAAATGGTTTTCTATATTCATATTTTTGTATACCTATATTTAACTGAATCAAAAATATTTTGATACACTAATATTTTGTAATAAACAAAGAACAAGGTAATCACTCTGTAAGGGCACAAAAGGTTTTCTTTGTTACTGAATTGTATCCAAATCAATGGAAATGAGTGAAAATGGCCTGTAGGCATGTATCACAGGTGTTAAAAATTAGCATGGTCTTGCTATAACACTGAAGGCAGTATATTTGATTTATTCATAATATTTATTCATTTGATATTGTGACCATATCAAATGAATATTGAAAAATACATGAAATATTGTGGCCTCTTTTACCAAGGTACATACAGCATCAACAAATTCTAGTGTCTGGATGGAAAGAAGCATACAATTGAAACATCAGCAATTTTGGGGTATTGCATAATTGCCCTCACTAAACTCACCTGTCAGCTAAATATACACCGTTGACAGTATTTGCTTAGCTATTGCACATCGCGCTAACAATATAAAATATAGTGGCGGCTGACTATGCTCCTATTTCTGCCCCGTGCTTACGAGTGGGAATTTCTCTGCATGTATGTTCTCAATGTGACAGTGGCAGTATTTTCACCAAGATACCCAGTAAATGTCAACTTGTCTGCAACGTCTTCCAATACTGACAAGGCTCTTGACAGCGTGCTCCCATTGTTTACTCCTGGCAAACAGATGAGCCCGGCCAGCGTAGGGAAGTTTGATAGTGGTTTAATGAGAAGAGATGCTAAATGAACTTTCCAGCTCCAAAAACGCC